AGATTATGAGGAGAGGCGAACTGCTGTGGGTGTTTCAGTTTTCGCTATCAGGGGGGGGGGTCGATGACTCCTTTGTAACATTTTGATCCTTTGTTGTAAGCGCTATGTTGCAAACAATTCTCTTAAGGCCGTAACCACAGTAAATGCAAGTAGCTGTGACTTTTATTAACAATTAATTCACTTGGAAAAAAAAGTGTGCCTGCGATGGAATTGTTTGTCTCATTGAAGTGTGTCTTGATACTGAAAAGTTTGGGAACCACTGGTCTAACCAATCGTTTAATCTCTGATCTGGAGGATACAGGAGACTGCACCAATTTAGGCAAGTGGTCACCGAGATTTGTCCCCTCATTGATGAAGAAGGCAGATTGTACAACATTGCCCTCTGTGCTCTGCCAGTATCTGTGAAAGGTTTTGAAACCTTTAACTTCTACACCTCTGATTTTTTTCCCAAGGATCAGCTGTCAACCTCATGGAATGAACTATCAGGAAGCAGCACACCTTTGTGGCTGGCAGGTCACTGAAGCCTTTCTTATGATCACTTGGGAATGCATTCAATTTCAAACAGATGGGGTCTTGCAGCGACAAAAGGTGAATGGGATTCATCTCCATTTCTGAACTCCCTCAGTTTCAGGCATCATTGAATGCACCCACTGAGTCACTAAGGCACTGAGCAGCAAGTCCATGGGTCCTGGCTGATGCCATTACTTTATTGCCTTCCGACAGTCCACGGTTCTTCAAGCCATCAGCTAAAGGTCATGGAAGGATTCCCAAGAGATAAGAAATATCCTTTGAAGAGAAGAGGTCTACCCACTTCTTTGTAAGAGCTCAAGATACAGCTCGAGAGACACCAAAACTGAAATCATAAATTCAGAAATCGTGAATTCATAAATCATAAATTCAGCATCAAGGAAGACATCAAGATTCTGAAAACATGGCTTGCTGACTAGTCCAATTGGTTAGCAACTTACAATACACTCTGCCATGGGCTTCCTGCATTGGCGTGGTCTGCCAAACTCTCTTAAACACTGCGCTCCCAAAAAGAGGTGTGAACCTTGATGAGGGGTAGGTGCTGGATTAGCACAGTTCATCAGAATGAGAAAAGATCCAGATGCTCTGCAGGCAGGTGGGCAGGGCAAGCTCAAATCAAACCTCTTACCAAGATGGCACTAACACAATTGGCACAGCTAATGCAGGCAGGTTTCACATGAACACAACCCATTCACCGGAACTGGAATCTCTTTGATCTGCCCATGAGAATACATTGATTAGACACGCATCTTGAAATGGATTCAATTTTACCTGCGATACCTAGTACGCAGCTCTTCATTGGACTCAGTGTTGAAACATTACAGGTAGGCATTACCACTTCTCAACTCTTTTCCATTGTCGTTATTCAATTACAGAAGTTCACTCATCTGGGACCTTGGCTGAACATTGTCAACATCATTAATAAAATCACTATGTGTACACTCACTGGTGAATTTAGGACCAGTGAACGACTCAGCGAAATGACTAACGAGGTGACCTTTGCTCTCAGCCACTTCTACACCATTCTCCCTTTGAGACCATGGGAGCAACTCCAGAGGATGCTGTACCTCCAGAGGCTACTGCTATAGCATCAATGCAGGATAGTTTGCATCAAAGGAGTCTGATAACCCCTTAGACAGAGGGAGCATGGAGGATGATAATGTAGCACCCTCACCCTTTGCCTCAGTCCTTGGATGGTGCTCTGCATTGCTGGAGGTGACCATCAGGTGAAGCACAAATTAGCATCTAAACGTCACTGCTGTCAGCACTACTATGCCAGCAGTGCCCCAGAATATTCTGTGCAGGGCAACTTGCTGCTCCTGCATCCACTCGGAGTCCTGCCACATGTGGATCTCTGTGACGTTGGCTGTTCTCTCAGTGGTGGTGCTCATGTACTTAAAGCTCCAAATCTCAGGAATGGACACGAGCTGAATATTTTCCTCCATTCTCAGCCCATGACCCTGCATTGCTGCAAGAAACTCAGAATTCAGTAAGCATCCTGCATAAGAGTACAGGCTCCTTGCCTGTGACTTCCCCACGCCCTGTTTCTATGTCCATCTTTTGAAGGGGTTTGCCCACAGATTTATCTTCCTTTGTCATCTCCTCCTGCTCACGAGTGATGTCCTTCACCTCCAGGATCACTTTCTTAAAATTGTGCATGAGGACCAATGAGGCTGTTGAGTCCACGTTAGTGAAGAGTGCTCTTAGTGATGATGGTACTGGGACTACTGGTTCCAATTTGTCAGGGATCCCTGGTGAGGCTGAAACAACACTGCCATTCTCCTGCTCCATAAGCAGCTCTGTGGAAGATACAAGGGGGAGATCATCAGAACATAACTGCAACAGCAGATATTTCTGAAGGGCTGAAGCATCCTGATGCAGCCGAGCCCTTGAGCTTTTGGACAGGGAAGGGTGCACACCACTGATATAATACCCCTTCACCCTCTCCTCCAGGCATTCTCATCTCTCCATCATCAAACTTGATGTAGTGCCATTGCTGCCTCCTCTACAGCAGTCAAGGTGGTGACTCCACTCCAGTGTGCGCTCTATCTCTGGGACTGTGCATCGTTTTCTCCTGCAAGGACGTGGGTGTGAGAGAGAGAGATAAGGTAATGCTGGTCTCTTATTAATATTTGGGACTTCATACAAATAAGAAGCTGCATGCATTAGTTCAACCAGGGCCACAGCCTCCGAGGCTTGCTGGCAGGTCAGTAAGTACACTGGACTCTCATGTTAGGAGCATTGTGCACCTTCTGGCTGCATATGTGCTGAGGGGGTGTGGAAGCTGGAAAGCTCTGCGTCACACTGCACATTGACCAGAATGAAAACCCTTTGTGGCCCTTCACCAAACCCTCCAGACAAAGCTGCAGCTACCTTCATGTTCTGTCATCTCCAGCCAGCTCTGCTTCATTTGGCTGGGTGGTCTTTTCAAGTCATATGCTGAGAACAAAACACTTTAATGATCACATACTGTTAACCTCAAGGGCTGCGTCCTGCTACCATTGACCAGAAACTGAAATGGATTAGCCATATAAATACCATAGGTACAAGAGCATGGGAATCCTGCAGCAAGTAATTCATCCTCTGACTCCCCAGAGCCTGTCTACCATCTACAAGGCACAAGTCAGGAGTGTGATGGAATGCTCCCACTTGCCTGGATGAATGCAGCCTCAAAAATACTCAAGAAACTTGACACCATCCAGGACATAGTAGCCCACTTGATTGGCACCACATCCACAAAACATTCACTCCCTCAACCACTGACGCTCAGTCGCAGCGTGTACCATCTACAAGATGCATGGCAGAAGTTCACCAAGGTTCCTTAGACAGTACCTTCCAAACCCATGACCACTCCCATCTAAAAGGACAAGGACAGCAGGTACATGGGAACACCATCACCTTCGAGTTCTCCTCCAAAATGGACAACATTCTGACTTGGAAATATATTGCTGTTCCTTTGCTGTTGCTGGGTAAAAATCCTGGAATTCCCTCCCTAACAGCATTGTGGGTCAACCTACAGCATATGGAGTTCACAGTTCAAGAAGGTAGCTCACAACCACCTTCTCAAGGGCAACTAAGGATGGGCAGTAAATGCCAACCCAACCAGCAATGCCCACACCCCATGAATAAATAAAAATAAAGGAAACCACAGGGCAGTTCTCACATGCGTGCCATGCCCCTGCCTCTCCTTTTGCTGATTTCTGATTTTCAATGACGTTCAATTTTGCTGTTCCCACACGGCTGCCACGATCCTTTTTTTAAATTGGGCCCACCCTCACCCCAGTCCTGCTACCTTAGATTGATTACCAAACTCACCATCCAATGCTGCTGACCTTGGGGACAACTGCGATTACACTGACCATTCACCCCAAACCTGGCAGGGACCTAGAAATGGTCATCATGTCAGGGTCCATGTCTCCAAAGGAGAAAACTGATCCTTGTTAAAAACAGGCAGGGGACTTATGAGGATAGGGCAAGGAGTGGATGATCAAATACTTTATAACTTGCTGTAGTCTCCATACTTCTGGAAACATGATTTAAAAAAAAAAATCAGCTGAGCCAGAGATAATTGATAGATTGAGAACAATGCTTTCTTTCCTTGATAACTTTAAATACTCAACAATTCCAATTTGGTAACTATGCATATTCAAGATGGACGTTGATAGATTTTTTTTTTGACTGTAAGGGGATTGGCAATTTGGGGATATTGAGGGAAGGTGGACTGGAGTCAGTTCAGCTGTGATCTTTTTGAATGAAAAAGTAGACTCCAATGGAAACACAGAAACAAGGGAGAAGATTTAGACCATGCAGCCCAGTTATTTTAGAATGTGGTTGATCATCCACCACAATGCCATACTCCAAAGCCCCTGATGTAATTAGTAAACAAAAAATCTCCAAAATTTCCAAAGATTCATTACCCTTTGTGTGTCGATCTTCCTCCTCATCTGAGTTGTAAATGGTTGCCTTTTATTCTGAGGCTGTGTCATCTGGTTCTTGACACCACAAATAAGGGAAACATCTTTTCCACAGTGCTATGTATCCCTTTAAGAATTTTCTCATTCATGAGAGGAACGGATTCAAAGCCAGGTCCTGGAGGCAAGAGAGCACCTAGATTCTCATGCTTGCACCTCTTGACTCCATGCCAATGTGCTACACAGCTTGGTTAACTTAATTTTGAATTTCTTGTGTCATTAGGTTAAGTTTTGGTGTTGTATATATAGTTATAAAATATATCTCAAGTGTGAAATATAACCATTAATTCACAAATATTGGTGAAATGAAAAGCTTGGTTGTGATACATACATGTTCTCAATTCCGTGTTGTACTGTCATTACGCTGCACATCAATGCCAAAGATGAATTGGCAGACTTGCTTGAATTTGCTGGTAAAGCACTAAATTGCCAATCAATTTTGACTTATCCAAGTATAGTGGTGCATTGTTAAATGGTGGGCCAACCAAAAATAGTCACTACCTGATATCCTGTGAACTTGACGCCAGGATTGTTTTCGATCTCCCACAGACCTTCATTGAAACCTTTTCGCTTGTTAGACTTTCCAAATTTATCTTTATATTCTTTGTAAGGTAAAAGGTCTTTAGGTCCCAGAAAGGCACTGCAACAGAAAATTCAATTGCTGATCTCAAAAGATTTTTCAACCAACTTTGCAGGTTAAACAAAGGACAGATCAAAATATAAAACCACAAAATAACAGACTAATTCCCTGACTGGTACATCTCAAGGCCGGATGCTTGCTGGCTAGCTAGTTTTATTTATTTTTTTTTTTTTTAAAATGAATGCCCCCATGATCACTTAAGGCTTCCCATGGGGCAAGGACTCATCCCAAGGACTGTTTGAATGGAAGGCCGACAACAATGGGAAAAAAAAATTTTCATTTACATGGTGCCTTTAATGTAGATCAAAAAGACTTCAGATTCTGCAGAGAGTTGTAAGGGTAAAATGAACACCAAACAGAGAAAGGACATATTAGAAAGGGTGAAGGAGCAAATTTTAAAGAGGAGAGAGAGGGGGAGAGGCAGAGAACTTCAGGGACGGAACTCCAGAGGGTAGAACCAAGGTGGTCAAAGGCATGACCACCAATGCAGGGTGATGGGGAAGGAGAGATGCACAAGAAACCCGAGGATGGGAGAGTTAGAGAGATTGTGCAGGATATGCTAATAATGCTCAGAAAGAGAGGCAAGGCAATGAAGGGGTTTTAAAACTCATTGATAAGAGTTTTAAATTTAAGACATTGCAGGGCTGACATTCAATGTGTGTGAAAGAAAGAGTGGAAATTGGTGCAGGACTGGACAAGCTTAGATAAGCTAAGCACATGAGCTTAGATTTACAGAGAGGCAAGGGTAGGAACACTAGAATCAGGAGGTGGTAAAAGGCATGGCCAAGGGCCTCAGCACATGTGGGCTGGGGTTGATGGGAGGGTGATGTTATGATAATATTATCCGTTCTTAATAATGCATTAACTTATCCCCTGGAGAAGCAAATAGAATTTGCATTTAATTGAGTAAATGGGTGTCATTACTGTTGGGATGTAAAATGCCACTACTTTAACAGCCATTAAATAAAAAAAAAGTTAAACGGCCTGACATTTGTGCTAACAGTGATAGGAGATCTCAGAATAACATACACAGCTTGTTCACTAATACTGTAAAATGCAAACTTCTCAAGACTATATCTAAGCTTTTAATTTCCATTTATTGGCATTAAAAATTTAATTGTAATTTTAATTACTTATTATAGGATTTATGACTAGCATCTTAGGATTAAAGGAGATTATTTTAAGTAAAATATTCCCAAGATTTAATCACTTTACTTTTGCACATTTGTTCTTCCAGCTCTTGGCATGAATAGTTTTCAGGACAGCTCAGTCTTTTTTTGGGTGGGGGGAGGGGAGGGCGATGGTGACAGGACCACTCTACGCTGTCTTCTTCAAAAATTCTTTCTTCCTTTCTCTTGAAGATACTGATGAGTCTTGTGCTCCAATAGTGATCGCCAAGCTATGAACATTATCATATACAGGCAGACTCCATTGTGCCTTCAGCTGACATTCACATTCTAACTGCAGGCAATGAGGGGGAATAAGACTGGAGATCCTGGTCCATTCTTCCCCATTCCTAGCCAGCTGGTGAGATTAGTTAAAGACCAATCCTGTCCCTAGTGTGTCAGTCAGGATAGCAAAGCTGTGATGGCCTGAGTGAGTTTGTTTGGCAGTGCATTTAGCATTGGAGGCTTGCAGCCAAATCTTAGTTTTTGTCTTAAGCAACATGAATTAATAAATGAAAAAGTGAAAATCAAACAAGTCTCTACAGAAAAGCTAAAGCTGCACTGTACATGCTAAGCAGCGGGTTAGCCTAAAATCATTTCCCCTATTTTGGGAGAGCTCATTCATTTCAAACAGTTAACATCTGAAGATCGTGGACAAAATAACTTCATTCAAATATTCTTTGTGTGTTTTGCATTAAAATTGCAATGGGATTTATTTAGAGTTTTTCAAGGTTAGGTTTGGGGAGACAGTCCATAGTCTCTGTTGGGAAGATGATTTCTAAATCTTTCTTTTCGCTTTGTCATTAACCAGTGTGCCTTGTTCTTGACTGAAAAAATGTTGATGGCTTTACTCCATAAACATGAGCAGGAAACAGGTAGCTTTAGCTGCTGACATTTCATTGCCAGCTGTTCTGCATCTGGAAAGTGATTGCCAACTGCTTCAAGGAGACAGGTTTCACCCTTTGATGGCCAGAAGAGAATTTCAGCAAGAAAGATGTAGCACACATTAGTTTATTCCATGAACACAAAAAGAAAACAAAAATCACAAAATATTCTGTACTGACCTCTAACTCTGATCAGTAACAACACTGAGATGATTTCCAAAGAAAGGTTTTGTAGAGATTATACTGACTAAAACATATTCTTTTAAAGAAGTAATAATTAAAACAGGAAATGCTGGGGTAACTCACTTTGTGAATCAGAGAATGTTAGAGATGGAACAGGTTTTTGAAAGAGGGGCGAGAGGACCTTTTTGTCTTGTCTTGCCTCTCCTCGCCTACTGAATAAATCCTAGTGTTTCCTTGTCTATGTTTGATTTCTAACATGGCAATGTTTTGCCCTTTTTATTACCTTAAAGCAACATATTCTACAAGTTCTTGTGCCCATTGGAGCTTTATCAGGTGAGAATATATCTTGGGAATTCAGGAAAAGAGCTTCATGATTTCCTGTTCATTTATGTTTTATTCGACTTGACTTCACTTTTTAAGTTTGTTTCATGCATTGCCCTTAAAATATCAACGTTAGCTTGCCTCTATTGCTCCACTGTGGCATCCAAGACTCAATGGGTCACTCACCTGCCTCTTGCACAAACCCATTAGGCCATTCCAGAGACATGAACATAATCTACAGCACTATCGAGGGAGTACTGCTTTGGAAAAACCGTCTTTTGGAAGAGACACTAAACCAAGGCCCCCATATAACCTCTCAGATAAATATAAAAGATTCAATGTCACTATTTTGAAGATGATTAGTTGATTTCTCCTTGACGATCTGGCCAATGACTATCTCTCACCTAATACCTGTAGTTTAGGGAGATTACTAGGCACAGAGCACATAGTAAGTGTATGAGTGCTTAGCATAGATCGAGGGACCATTTGCAGGGGAAGGGTATCGGCCTGGCAGTATGTGTCTGTCTGTCCTGGCAGGCTTTTTCAGTGCTGTAGTGAGTTGTGTTTGGAATGGTCTGGTCAGGCTAGTGGGTGAGGGGTGTTGGAGCAAGTACAAAATGGGGGTCGTGGGTGTCAGGCCCAACACAGTCAGGTCAGAAGTGTCAGATCTTGGATGGGTGTAGTTGGGAAGGGTCAATACTGAGTCTGGAGTTCGGTTTACCTGGGAACTACAGTTGTATTTGAATCCTTTAATTCTTCTTAGGTAACTATTAAGCTTAAGTTGAGCTGGATCCCGCAACCTTTAAGGGAGGTTTTTGGGAGGGTTCCGGACACATGGGGATTTACCTGTTAGAAGCTTCAATTCCCTGGGCAGCTCCCACAGAGTCAGCTGCGATGATATTGCATGGTCCCAAACGGCAACTTTAATCTATATTGCTCTCTAACAACTAACCGATCATCGGAACATCTGCATCATTGAAAGAGTCTGAACAGTTTTTATTCAATCGAGGTACATTTGCACTATCCACATTCCAGCAACAGTTGCCACCGAGAAAAGAGTTTCACTCAAATCCAGAGAGTTAAGTGAAAATCTCAAACCTCTCACTGTACGTTGTTTGCTTTTATGTTTACAGGCCTATTAAACTTGGTTAGAATTTCTTCAAAGAGAAAAGGTTGTCATTCAGATCTATTTGGACAGATTCATTTTCACAATAACAAAATTCTGTCCTGTAACAAAATATACAACACTGACCACCATCATCCTTTTATCTCCAAAGTGTACTTACGTCTCATGAGTTCCAAAGAAGAAAATAGGATATTTATTTGCTGGTGGTTTCACTGCTCCCTCTGGGAGCTCATCGATCTGTCGAGCAAGAAAAAAAGAGGATTTAATATAATTAATACTGTCAACAGAAGCTTCCATTGGACAACTTCAGATTTTCAATATCCACATGTTCATGAGCATCGAACAGAAAATGGAAAGAGATGATTAACTCTCCACTTCTAGTAGGAATGTAGACAAGGAATTTAAGCTCTTGGGATACAGACGAATTGTGGGACAGGCAGGGTCCTATGCTCCCACCCAAAATAAAAATTTCAGCCCTAGTAGGATGGCTTCTCACAGAGGAGTGATGCTACTTTATACAGCAATGTGGCTCCTTGAAGTGACTGGAATGGGCATGCCATTTTAATCGTGGGTCAGACTGTCTCAAGCCTGTCATGAAAGCTAGCAGCAGAAGACAACATCCTGGTCATGAGGGCTGTCAGGTTCAGAAGTTGAAAACTAAACTTTTCTTGTGAGCTGTGCTCCTCCTTGTCCAGAGGATAACCCAGCCGTCTCTTGCCCCACACTTCACATCCCAATTATCGTTTTTCCCAATCACTGCCAGCCTTCATCCCTTAACTGACCTTCTTGGGGACTTTTGCCCTTTGTGCCCAGCCACATCAAACCCCGATATCCCATCCACTCAGACCCCAGGTGGTAATGATACCATTTCTACTGGCTTTAGGCTGGAGTCAGAGTTGGGAAAAAAGTTAACAATCTCTCAGCCTTCAGACTTCTCGTTGCCTAACGCCGTTAATTAATTTGCCAACTGTGGCCTACATGCATTTATATCAATGCTGAGATCTGACCGTGACGCAAGCCATTGTGTCTAATTTATGTCAGCATTCGTTTAATCTTTTCTTCAGAAAATCTGTTGTGATTATATTTTCTTTGAATAGGGTCTGGAGTCTTAACCCACCCTCAACAGATGAGGTTAAAATTTCAAAGATCTAGAAGCTACCAATTAACAGTTTTAATAGAGATGGGGACCAACTTGCTCTTTAAATGCTAATGAGGCTGCATGCTTCAATTTTGATCAGACTTAACAGGAATGATGTCCAGAATTCCCCCCCCTACAGTGATGGAAAACCTTGCAGGTGAATGAGGGTGCAAACAGCAGATTCATGAATAAGGACCTCTCTGTTACTGCCGTAAGACCAGGACGAGCAAGAATACCTTTCCTGGATTTTTCAAGCCAACCTGTATCCCCCTCCTGTGATTGGACAACCCAGAACACAACCCCCACCTTTCCCACCTTTCTTTTTGCTCCTGATGGGCAGCCCACCATCATGGGCTTTCTCTTTGCCAGCTGATCCTGAGCCTGGGGAATTTCACACAGGACCTACACATTTCCTGCATTCTCTGGGTTTTTAGACCCATATACCCCCTGAACACATTCTCTCTCACAGCCCTGACCAACACTACTGCATCCCTGGGGATACCTCTCTCTCCTTCCTGGACCTCGCTGTCTCAATCTCTGGTGACTGCCTCGAAACTGACAGCATTTCAAGCGCACCAACTCCCACAACTACCTGGACTACACCACCTCTCACCCAGCTTCCTGCAAGAATGCAATCCCCTACTCCCAATTCCTCCACCTCCGCCCCAACTGCGCCCTAGATGGGACGTTCCACTCCCGCACATCCCAGGTGTCTTCCTATTTTAAGGACTGTAACATTTCTCCCCCCCCACTCCGGTGATCAAAAATGCCCTCAAACGCATCTCTTGCATTTCCCACACTTCTGCCCTCCCATCCCCTCCCTGCAATAAAAACAAAAAACAGAATCCCCCTTGTCCTCATATCACCCCACCAACGTCCGCATCAAATGTATCATTCTCCACCACTTCCGTCATCTACAATCCGACCCCATGACCAAAGAGATATCTCCCTCTCCACCCCTATCTGCCTTTTGTAGGGACCACCCTCTGTGACTCGCTCGTCTGCTCTACACTCCCCATTAACCCCACAACCCCCGGCACCTTTCCCTACAACTGCAGGAATGGCTACACCTCCTCCCTCACCTCCATTCAAGACAAAACAAAACTTCCACATTAGACAGGGGTTCACCTGCACATCCGTCAATGTGGTCTACTGCATCTGCTGCTCCCGATGTGGCCTCCTCTACATCGGTGAGACCAAGCGTAGACTCCGAGACCGTTTTGTAAAGCATCTGCGCTCTGTACGTGACAAATGACAATACCTTCTGGTCGCCAACCATTTTAACTCCCTCTCCCACTCCCACTCCCTGGGTGACATGTCCATCCTGGGCCTCCTCCAGTGTCATAATGACACCACCCGCAAACTGGAGGAGCAGCACCTCATATTCTGCCTCGGGAGCCTACAGCTTGATGGCCTAAACAAGGATTTCACCAGTTTTAAAATCTCCCTACCCCTAGCCTCATCCCATGTCCAACCCTCCTTCACATCCCTGCCTCCTTGACCTGACACAACCTGTCCATCTTCTCTCCCAACTATCTGCCCCTCTCACCTCACGGACGAAACCCCACCACTCCCTACCTGCACTCACCTATCACCATTCCACCTACGTTTCCCAGCTCCACCCCTCCTCTCTCTATTTATTTCTGAGCTATCTTCTCCCTCCCCATTTCTGAAGGGTCCCGACCCGAAACGTCAAGTTTCCGGCTCCTCTGATGCTGCCTGGCCTGCTGTGTTCATCCTGTGTTATCTTTACCACTAAATCAGCCCCTGTCTCTTCTTGTATCTACCTAGCACTCCACATCCACCCCAATAAATATTCATGCCAGAGCCTCAGCCAGGCTCTCACAGGTACTTTGCTGATAAGAATGACAGAAACACAAACACAAACACAAACACAAACACAAACACAAACTGAAAAACGTCACAGCAGACCCATCAGCTGTCCCCAGTAGTAATAAAATATCATATTCCACACTCCTGTACAAGATGTGGGCAACACTGACAAGAATTTGTTGCCCATTCCTAGTTGCTGTTGATCGGAGTGACCTGCTCAGGCCATTTCAGACTTAACCATATCGCTGTGGGTCTGACCTACATGTGACTTCAGATTGGGCAAGGACGGCAGATTTCTTTCCCTGAAGATGGATTTTTATGACAATTGCAAGTGGTTACATGGACGCTATTAGATTAGCGTTTAGCTACAGATTTTTTTTTTTTTTTAAAACATTGGATTCAAAATCTCACGACCAGCCATATACTTATATACAAATTATCCAATTCCATTCTGAGATTGCTGATTCAACTGTTTCCATCACAGACTACTGCATATATTCAACAGCCCTCTACATTCAGCTAATTCAAAACTGTCTTTACACCAATGCTCTGGGAATGATTGAGCTTTACAGCATTCCCTCAGTCTCCACAAGTCTCAGAAGCACTTGGCACACATTCACAGTTCATCCAGGAATGCAATCCATGGTATTTACTATTGGGTGCACCTTACTCAAGATGCACTGCCCTCTGATTGCAGCATTGTGGATAGGATTATTTTGTCAAGTGTTTGGATGTGAATTTATTGGACCACCAAAGAAAATAATATCAATTGTCCATTTCTCAAAGATAAATTTCACATTATAATTAATATGGATAATTGTATGTGAATCTTAATCTAAATATCTGGGATAGGGGTCCCCGAGATCAGGTTCAATGCCAGTTTACCATTTGACCTGATATTACTCTGTTGATATCTTTGTCTCTTCTCTAGTAAGATTCTCGATTATTCAAGGATTGCTAAACCAAGGCTTATGCTGTGATTTTAGTGCAGGGAAAGATGATGGGGCAGACCCTAAGTCTACCTAATGCTGTATTGTCGGTGTAATTCTGAATCACATGCTAGCCGTCTAGCCAACTAAATTAACCACTGCCACCCCCATCTTATTTCAGTAGTGATGTCAAGTATTATGCCATTAGTAGGAAAAGCAGTCTTGCATCCAATTTCTTCATTTTTCCAAGCGCAGCTTAGAATAAAAAATCCCCAGTATGACTTCCATTCATTTCAGAATTCAAATAATACAAAAATCTAAAATAGGAATTCTAAATCACATAAAAACAGAAAGTGCTGGAGAAACTCAGCAGGTTTGGCAGCAGAGAAACACAGCTAATGTTTCGAGTCTGATAGGAGTTTTCTTCCCCATTCCAAAGTTGAGTCACACTGGACTTGAAATGTTAACTTTGTTTCTCTCTTTCCAAAGATGCTGCCAAACCTGCTGAATTTCCCCAACACTTTATTTTTATTCCTGATCTCCAGCATCCGCAGTAGCTTGCTCTGATTTAAGCTGAATGATAGATATTTTTAAATGTTATGAATAGTCTTGCCACCTTTCACTACAACATTCAGATGAACAGTTAAACTCAGAGTCATACAGCATGTAAACAGACCTTTTGGTCCAGCTCGTCCATACCGACCAAGTTTCCCAAACTAAACCAGTCCCATTTGCCTGTGTTTGACCAATATCCCTCTAAACCCAACCTTCCATTAAACCTAAAGCCTACTCTGCTTTCACTGATGAAATTGTGGAAGTGGCTAGCTCTGGAAGAACATCCCTCTTTTCTACAATCTGTCAAACAGTCCTTTTAACAGAATGTTCGGATGGTTTGGGTACTGGGTGATGGAACAATCTAAACATCCCTCTTCAACCTGCCAATATTATCAACATGCCCTGTCCCAAAATCCCCTTCCCCATGGTCCTCCCCACCATGGGGCCAGACCACTTTCCTGCCACCACCACCCTTCATCCTCCAGTGTCTATCCTTGCCCACCCCCACACCCTCCCAAAGCACTCCTCTTCCCCACAATGTCCTCCCACCTTTCTGCCAACATTTGACTGCTTGGAACACTTTGTCCAGCACTTTCATCATTCTGTGTTAGCACAATTCTGAATTCTTAAATGCAATTTTACCCCATAAATGGAATCAGCACATTTTCCAGCAATTCACTAACTGCCCTCTGTCCATTAACAAAAGCTGTGGAAGACGATACTAAGAAAATGTTAAGGATGGTAAGTACAACAAAAATATATTGATACACATTTTACCAAGT